TCTTCCCCTCTCTTCTCTGCTATAAACATAGTTTCTTTTGAATTTTTTTGGGTTGTTGAAGAAAAGTTTGCAAAAGAGGAGTAGAAATTTTGGCTGTGAGGAGATTGAAAAGAGAAATCTGTGAGAGTATTTCTTTGAGGTGAATTCTTATGTTGCAGTGCTTTACATTGGCATTAAGGAGGTACCTCTTCTTCCCCCCTTTTTCTTCGGTGCCCTGTTTCCTTTCGATTTTCCTCTCTGCCGAGCCTTTGAACTTGGCTCTGTTGGATGATACAACATGCTAGTTCTCTTTACTTTCATATATTTTGAGGCATTCTTTTTAAAAGCATGTGAAGGATGAAATGTGAGCATGTTTCAAGGGTGAGATTCGATTAATTGCTTAGGATGGTGCAAGCATAGCATGATATAAGTATTCTTATTTTCTCCTATTAGCTTGAGATGAAATCGTAGCATATTCCTATTACTTTGAACAAGAGGGTTGAAACGTGGCTTTGAAATAATTTTAGCTCCTCTTGCAAGCATGTTGGGATATGTATTAAGAAGCTTTTCACTTACTTTCATTTAACATGAAATATTGGAGAGGTTATTTGGCCTTTTATAGATGCTAGGGAGTGCATTTTACTGTTTTATGCATGTTTGGGGGCTCGGTTTTGGCTCCCTATGGCTTTCCCTGGCTTGAAATGCATGCTATGAGAAAATCCATTTTGATTTGGAAAGTGTTGTAGCTTGTTTTGAGGGCTTGGTTTAGCTCCTCGTGAAGTTCCTCCCCTGTTCAAATATTTGTTGGAATAATTTCATGCTTGGGATGTTTAGACATGCAGGTTGTTCCTTGGGCTTGAAATGACTAGAGCTTTAATGTTGCTGGGCTCGGTTTTGGCTTGATTTGGAGTCACGGTTTTGTGTTTGAAATGGTTGAATCTTTAATGCTTCATGGGAGTCTGGATTTTAATATTGTTGGGCTCAGTTTTGGGCCCAGTTTTGGGCCTTGAATGGCTCGGCTTTGGGCTTTTGTAGGTGCTCGGTTTTCATTTCAGGAGTACGGGATGTTGATTTTTCTGGAGACTTGAGTCTTGACTTTTATTGAGGTGTTAAAGCTCTTTTTCTAGCTTTAAGAGCTCTCGTGTTTGGCCTCTGCTGGACTCGGTTTGGCTCTAGTTGGGGGGCTGTGTTTGCTTTGCCTGGCCCTTACTCGAGAGGTGGTTGGCTTGAGTTTAATTTCCCCCCCTCTTGTTGAGTTTAAATCACTTGAATGTTGGTGGATGGATCAAACTTGTTACTTTGAGAGATTTGTGATGTTTTGTACTCTCCTATGTATATTAAAACTTGTAGAGAATTGATTTGAGTTTGCCCCGGCCGTGAGCCTCACTTGTTGTTCATTGGGTTTGCCTCAGCCGTGAGCTTCCTCCCCTTCTGTGCCTCGGGTTTGCCTTGGCCGTGAGTCTTACCTGTTGTTCATCTCTTTGTAGTGATCCCGATCATGAGCATTTATTTGGTTTTGTGGGAAGATTTTTATGCTTATTTGATATGTGAGGTTATGGATTAATTCGGAAGTTGAAAGATTTTGATATCAACTTTGGAATTTTGGGAAGATTTGCAAGCTTTATTTGGGAGAGCATTTGATTGATTTGATTAATCCTACGTCTTTGTGGTCTGAGAAAATTAGCGCAATGTGCCCCTTAATGTTTGTTAGGAAAGACCTTGGGCCCTACTTTTCTAGGTCTTTTCGACACGAGCTTTGAAGACTGATCTATTCTCCTTTTTGGTGTTTTAGATGGATTAATGCCTCCTCTCTCTCACCCCATTTTTGTTCTTTTCTTTCCTTGCTTCTCGGTTTGGTTTTTCGACGCTTATGCCCGACACATAAGTGTCCACGTATAACCTTTTCCTATACGTGAAACCATCAAGCAAGGTCGCAAGTAGTCGTTTTGGGGCGTATGGTGTTGATGATAAAGGCACACCGAAGATAGAGCAGAAAGATGCTCTATCATAAGAAAAAATAGGATTTGATTTCCTCCGCCGACATAAGTCTGGCGGTAGTCGGCTCGAACCTCCTTAGGTTGTTGGCAGTCATATGCCTGGCAGTATAATCGACTCGTGAACAACAAAAATTTCTAAAAAAAAAAAGAAGATAAGTTTTGATAAACCATTTTCAAACAAAAACATACTTTTCTATGAAACAAAAATTGATAACTTTTCTTTGCATGCTTAAAATTTGTGTGTGTGTTTAAAACATAAAACATATTTTAAAGCTGGTTGTCCACCTGACGAATACCTGTTTAGGCTGGGAAATAACCATCTGAGTGAAGTTCAAAACACCCTTCTAGACGAGTGACGGGTTCTATACATTCGGGTGACCGAGTAGCCTTCGTGGACCCTCGAGAATAAATATACAGCTGAGCCTAGTCCCATACGAGTGCTTGCGGTCCCCCTCATCCGAATATTCTTTTTGTTTTATCGAAGCTTTGGGACAGGACACTCGTGTTACTTTTTCTTTCTTTCGGGATTTCCCCAGGAGTTTTGAGGATTTTCTTTTACTTGAGTCTTTTTCGTTGATTTTCTCGAGTTTTTCGCTTTTCCTCGGATTTCTTGGATGACGTTTTCTTCCTGACTTTGCTTTTTGAGATGCATTTAGGCTTGCTATACTTAAGGAATATCGGATCTCATGGGCGTACGAGTTTGCTTTATATTTTTCAGTACTTTATTTTCCTGTTTTCTACCTGCTACTGCTCTTCCTGTACAACATGAGTATATCATTTCTGCTTCTACCTGCTACTGTACTGTATAACATGCCATATTACTCATGTTTTCCACCTGCAACTGTTCTTCCTGTTCCTGTATAGCATGTTGTTCTTCCTGTATAGCATGTTATACTGCTCCTGTTTTTTGCCTACTACTGTTTGACATGTATCCTATTGTTTGCCCTGTACTGCACATTTTATATCCTATAGCTTTAAGCATGTCTTCTTTTATATAGGATTTTTAGAGGACTACAACCATATGATCGTTTGATTTAACACTATAACTGGACACCCTAGAAAACTCAAACTCGTCACGTCGGTGAGCTTGGAGCTAGCGCGATGGGCAGCACTGCCGGTCAACTTTTTCGATTGATTAGATTTAGATTTTGAAAATATGAAAATATGAAAATATGAAAATAATTTTTGAAATTTAATTTAAATATAAGAGATATATATAGTTTGAGTTTTAAAAGTAGTATGTTTTAATTTTTGAAAAATGAGACCAAGTGGATCTCATTCGTCCAATAGTTTGCATAATCGTGTCTGATACCGCGAATACTACACCCTCCCGAAAGATAAGTGTAGACCTCGGCGATAGACCCAATCCAGCAAACTAAGAGATTTGTGACATCCGTTTAGTCTGCGAACCTTTTATATATGACCGACAAGTTCCCCTATATAATACAAAGATTAAATAAGGTTTATTTTATCGGGGTTCCAAGTTCCCTATAGAGGCAAGCCCCTATAGTTAATTACATC